AATACACACTGGCTTTTTAAGACAGTACAAAAAAAAAAAAAAAAAGAACGTAAAATATTGAGCTGAAACGATATTTTGGATACATTCCTTTATAGAAATTACATCATTAATTTTACTTTCTTTTCATTTTCTTAATAAGGCTACTAGAAAATTTAATTACATACATGGCTCACATAATATTTTTTATTGGATGGAGCTGCTCTACAGATCCATGTAGAGCTTTTGAGGGAACTGTAAATATGCATAAGGAGACAGAGGCTTTGAATAATTTCTCCCATCACGGCTTCCTGTTGTCATCTCTTTTTATATACTGGGTACTTTCCAGGAGTCTAGCACAGCTGGATAAGCTGCAACAGAAAATCAACACAGTACACCCACAGGGCAACACAGTACACCCACAGGACAGCACGGTACACCCACAGGACAGCACGGTACACCCACAGGACAGCACGGTACACCCACAGGACAGCACAGTACACCCACAGGACAGCACAGTACACCCATAGGACAACACAGTATACCCATAGGACAACACAGTAATATGGACTCTCTAGACATTCCTGCCTTTTGAAGCTGCTGCTTTCATTAAGAAGCTACAGCCAGGGAGTTTTTAATTATAACAATTATGACTTTTTGGGGGGTGGAGGATAAATTTCCTGTATAGAGTTATAAGGCCACACAGAGACTTAAGAATGTTTTGACGAAACTTTTGGAGAAGGGTAAGAAAGAAAGAAAAGGCAGGGTGCAGTGACCCATGCCTGTAATCCCAGCACTTTGGGAGGCTGAGACCGGTGAATCACTTGAACCCAGGAGTTCGAGACCATCGTGGCCAACATGGAGAAACTCCTTCTCTAGCAATAATACAAAAACACTAGTCAGGCGTGGTGACATGCGCTTGTGGACCCAGCTACTAGGGAGGCTGAGGTGAGAGGACTGTTTGAACCCAGGAGGTGAGGGTTGTAGTGGGCTGAGATCCCGCCACAACACTCCAGCCTGGGTGACACAGAGTGAGACTCCATTTCAAACAAACAAACAAACAAAGAAAAACGAATTATTAGTGATCCTGGAGGAAGCCCAAAAATAAGAAGCATGGAAGGGAGCTTGAGGAAGGCTCTAAGTGTAAAATCTTAGATCGTCAATATGAGCCTTAGATCTAATTACAACATGATCCCTTTTGCACATATTCATTGTTTGCCCGTAATCATCAGCATCTCCAGGTATTGACAGATGCAGGATGAAGATAAGAGGGGAGGGTCCCAGGAGAATCTTGGTCCAGCCTCAGCACTGGGACACCAGGGTGGAGCCACGAAGTTCGTGCTCCTTGCTTGGGGAAGGAGCCTATGTGGCCTGGAATCAATCTGTAAGGAGAGGTCCTGTTAACAGAAATCCCTCTCACTTTGCTGAGAGTTTTTTTTCTTTTTCCTTTTTTGTCCAATAAATTCTGTTCCCCTCATCCTTCAGTGTCTCCAGGCCTGACTTTTCCTGGTCATGACACAAGAACCTGGATATGGCTGAACTAAGGAGCAGAAATTCTGCAACATTTGCCACTGTATTATATCTTTTTTAGATAGAGTCTCACTCTGTTGCCCAGGCTGTAGTGCAATGGTGTGATCTTGGCTCTCTGCAACCTCTACCTCCTGGGTTCAAGCAATTCTCCTGCGTCAGCCTCCCGAGTAGCTGGGATTACAGGCATGCGTCACCATGCCTGGCTATTTTCTATTTTCAGTAGAGATATAATTTCACCATGTTGGTCAGGCTGCTCTCGAATTCCTGACCTCAGGTGATCCGCCTGTCTCGGCCTCCCAAAGTGTTGGGATTACCGGCGTGAGCCACCACTCTTGGCCTGCAACAGTGTCACATCTGATCAATATAGACTCTCCTTTGTATCTAGGGTGACTGGTTTACTAACTGGGTCAGTGCTGTACACCAAAGAGCCACTAGTCACACATTTGGCTATCAGGCAATTGAAACTGTGACTGAGGAGCTTAAATCAAGTTTAAGTAACCACATGGCTAGTGGCCACTGTGTTGGCCAGTACAGGTCTGGAACCTGGCTGCTTTGTGTGTACCAGCAGCTCATGTACCCTCTGGGAGTTGGTTAGAAATGCCGTATTTCAGATGCTACCTGGACTTCCTGAAATATATTCTGCAGTTTAAGATCACCAGGTGACTCTTACGTATATTAAAGTTTGGAAAGCACTTACCTAGAGTAGGGGGTCTTATTGAATACACTGAAGCCCCTAAAACTGTATAAAAAGTTTGCATGAATTTGTAACACACACATATATGGATACACACTTTCCTGCTTTCCTTCTCCTGAAAGCAATGTCTATACTTCTCTCTCAGATTTTCCAAAGTGTTCATGATCCAGAACTAAGTTCTACCCTACACAAAGTGGGAAAGCAGATTTCACTGAACAAAGAAAGCCTTAAAGTTATCCTTCACTGAGTAGGCAAATGCTTTCGAATTTACAAAGATGAGAAACATGGCCATGTTCAGCTTTGTCGTTCTTCCAGTGTGGTTTTATTTCTTCATATGTCTGCAATAAAAAACTACATGGTACACTCCAGATCTGCTTTGGTTTCAAAAAGGCACATGCACATCAGTCATCAGTGCACACAGGGGGCTATAAAACATTTATATGTATTCTATTTTGTATTATACACACACATTCTTATTTTTTAAGTGCAAATTGACCACAATATGCATTCCAGTGCAAATACCAGTTTGTGTTAATTCATGCAGCCTGGAGCGACTGGTGAAGTTTTAAGTATTGATGTACTACTGCAGCTGTTACCAATCTTTTTGTTGATTTAAAACTGGTATAATGCTTGTCTGGTTATTGTCTACAACATGAAACCATGAAGATTCAGCAATCAATCAGGTTTTTTTTAATTAGTATTAATAGCAGTCTGGTTATTATCTACAACATGGAACCATGAAGAAAAACATTTTAAAGAACAATCTTGATTATTTAGCTTCCTTTCCCATTATGGAATAGTGTTGGTTTTACATTATAATAAAAATAATGATCCTTTATTATTTCTTTTAGGCAAAATTTAGGAAGCAACGATACTTTTATGCGGAGGATGAGGTTGCTTTCAGGCTTTGTAAATTTGCCTAAGAGAAACTTCCTTCATTTGTGAACAACAAAAAATGATCTGAATTCTATGCTAAGGTAATTATTTATTTCAGGTTAAGCCCCTAGAGTTAGGTGGTATGTCCCTGAGTCTCAAAACAGCTTGAAGAATCCACCTTGAATCATTATTTATCCACTGGTGTTTATGAAGAAACATGTACAAACTGGTATTAGCTAACACAGCCAGGAAAATTAACTTATCATATGGAGCCATAAGTGTTTCCCAGATGAAGAAAATACAAGTTTAGCCTCACTTTTGTTCTGGAATGCAAATTTATACTGGTTGAGCATCCCAAATCTGAAAATCCAAAATCCAAAACTTGCCCATTGGAGCATTCTGGATTTTTGGATTTCAACCAATAAGTTGAAGTGCAAATTAAAAAAAAAAATCCAAAATCTAAAGCACTTCTAGTCCCAAGCATTTTAGATAAGGGATACTCAACCTGTGAATGCAGAACTGCTGAATGCAATTGCCAACAGAAGACTTAGGTCCCTTTATAAATAATTTTCAGTCAGATGAAGGAGAGGAACTATTACTGGAAGGTACAGACAGGACTACTATACACTTAATACACGTTTAGCTTTTGTAAGACAAAACATACATATATGTATATATATGTGTTTTTTTGAGACAGGGTCTCACTATGTTGCCCAGGCTGGTCTCAAACTCCTGTGCTCAGGCAGTCCTCCCACATCGGTCTCGTAGTCCTGGGATTGCAGATGTGAGCCACCATGCCTGACCTAGGACAAAATGTTCTTTCAAAACTAGCTAGCTAAAAGGATAGTTTAGTGGGCTGGGCATGGTGGCTCACATCCATAACCCCAGTACTTTGGGAGGCAGTGTTGGGCAGATCATTGGAGGACAGGAGTTGGAGACCAGCCTAGCCAACATGGTGAAACCCTGCCTCTGCTAAAAATACAAAATAAGCCAGGAGTGGCAGCTGGTGCCTGTAATCTTAGCTACTCAGGAGGCTGAGGCACAAGAATCACTTGAACCTGGTAGAGGGAGTTGCAGTCAGCCAAGATCACACCACTGCACTCCAGCCTGAGTGACAGAGCAACACTTTGTCTCAAAAAAAAAAAAAAAAAGATAATTTATATGTCCAATCTTTTTTTTTTTTTAAATTTGGTGTCATGACTCGGATCCGTGTCCAATCTTTTTTAAGACTCAGTAATGTGGTGGTGGTGGATGTCATTAAAACAAAAGGGTTGAGAAACAATTCACTGCCAGGCACGGTGGCTCACACCTGTAATCCCAGCACTTTGGGAGGCTGAGGAGGGTGCATCACCTGAGGTCAGGAGTTCATGACCAGCCTGGGCAATATGGCGAAACCCCACCTCTACTAAAAATACAAAATAGCCAGGCATGGTGGTGCATGTCTGTAGTCTCAGCCACTCGGGAGGCGGAAGCAGGAGAATCGCTTGAGCCGGGGAGGCTGAGGTTACAGTGAGCTGCGATTGTGCCATTGCCCTCCAGCCTGGGCAACAGAGCAAGACACCGTCTCAAAACAAAAAACAAAACAAAACAAAAACAGTCCTCAATCTCATTTCTACTACCAGATACAAGACAAATGTCATTCATACTCCCATGGTGCAATGCTCCTGGTATGGTAGCTCTTTCCTATTTCTTTCTTTTCTATTCCAGAAAGCACACTGGAAGATGAGTGAGTGATTCCAATGTAAGAATAACCTGAAGTCCAGTCCAATACAGTGAATTAAGCACAGCATTTGACTCGTTATCCTCATACTTCACAGCGGATCACAAGACATTTTGGTGTCAACATCATTTCTGATAAGGACTCCTCATTCATTTCATTTAGTTCCTTACCTTTAGTCAAGGTCAAGATTCTTATCTACACTCATTTGATATATTCATTTGACTTATTTACATAACCAGTAGAAAGGAGATTTTAAAAATATTTATTACATTTGTTTCTAGAAATCATAGAAAATAAAAATTGATACAATTATGATACACAACTTTAGAAAGGCGTATCTATGCTTTCATACCAGAGAAAAGTTTATGCAGTGTCAGACATGGAAATACCAAAGCCACTGGTGACAAAAGGTAAACAAATGCTACTGATAGATGCTCTTGTACATTTTTATAGCTTTCTTCTCTACCATTATTTATTTTATAGCAAATACCAGTCCAGTGGAAAGAGTTCTGAACATAAAAGGCACCTAGAGTAAAAATTAGACCTTAACTAATAAAAACAGCTATATACGATTACATCAAGAAAAAAAACCCAGCCAGCACAGTGACTCACACTGGTAATCCCAGGGGTTAGCCTTGGCAACATGGCAAAATCGTCTCTACAAAAAAGACAAAAATCAGCTAGGCGTGGTGGTGTGCACCTGTACTCCCAGCTACTCAGGAGGCTGAGGTGGGAGAGTCACTTGAGCCTGGGAGGTCTAGGTTGCAGTGAGCCGGAACTGAGGATTGCAGGATTGCACTGCAATCCAGCCTACCCTATGGAGTGAGACCCTGTCTTGGGGAAAAAAAGATAAAAGAAAAAGGTTCTATCAATGCAACTTTCCTGCAAGGCATTAATATAAATGCAAAAGCCACTGCAACTAAAAAGTCTATAAATGCTTGCCTGAATCTAGTACATAAGCAGGATAATGACGATCACTGTTTACAATAATTTGTAGATGTTTTATTATCATTTAAATCAGCATGAGTACTGTATTAATATTCGTGGGTGGCAGCTATCAAATTATTTACCCACAGTCCAGATTTGTTTTGCTGCACGTGCTCTTAAAACGTATGGTTGTATACTCCGTCACAGATGTGTCAAAAACTCCTGCTGTCTTTTGAGAATGCAGCAAAACCTAAACCTGATACTTTAAACCAAAGTCCTTTTTTTTATTATTGTAAAGCTGACATTTCACTCTGATTTAAGCACCTGAAGTACATTTTGACCAATTTATATTCTGAGCTAAAATTAAGAACCTCAGGATTTGTGTACATGTACAAATATTGCAAATTATTTATTTAAGCTAATAAAAAGTTTAAAAAATACAAATAATTTTTTATTACAAAGATTTGAAATCCATATGAGTCTGAACTAAGACAGAAATGCACAGGGAGCCAGGAAGCAAACACTTGTGTGCATTTGCTGATCTGTGGACAAGGTACTGCTCAGCGAAGCCAGGTGGTATTCAGCTGCGTCTGGTTCTTGATACTGGTATCCATTTTTAGCACTTCTCGAATGGCCATGGTGGCATATGTAGAAGGGGGTAGAGAAAAATCCATTTTCAAAGCCCTGTATTTGCCTTCTGCCAGGCAAGAAAGAAGAAAACAGTCAGAAAGTGAAGGCAACTGCAGACAGACCGGAGAGAGTCACATAATCTCTAAGCAAATATAAAGAACTGTGCTCCTTTCCTTAGACTCTGTTTCCCAGGAGGCGTCTGAGAACGAGACCATGTAAGTAAGAGATCTGTGAGCGTGAACCCGCTGAACGGTTACGGAAATTCTACCCAGGAGCTTTCACAAAAGGGCAGATGACAGAAGAGCACAAGAGAGAAATGCATGTAAAGTTAAAAAAAATAATAAAAAATTATGGCCTAGGAAGAAAAAACAGAAAAAGGAATGGCAACAAGAATTTAATGATGAGAATGCCAATTTAATTTTTTTTTTCTTTTTTTTTTGAGACAAAGCCTCACTCTGTCACCCAGGCTGGAGTGCAGTGGAGCAATCTTGGCTTACCATAATCTCTATCTCCCAGGTTCAGGTGATTCTCCTGCCTCAGCCTCCCGAATAGCTGGGATTATAGACATGCACCACCACATCCGGCTAATTTTTTTTTTTTTTTTTTTTTTTTTTAGTAGAGACAGAGTTTTGCCATGTTGGCCAGGCTGGTCTAGAACTCCTGACCTCAAGTGATCCACTTGCCTTGGCCTCCCAAAGTGCTGGGATTACAGGTGTGACCCACCATGACCTGCCACCAACTTTCTAGGCTCTTCCTGAATTTTCACTCACCTTTGGTAACTCCCTGTGGGGGTTGGGGAGAAATACTCCATCACCTAATATCACAACCATCTGTAACACTCATTCATTTTCAGGATGATTTACCAGTTTGATTTACTAACCTCCAGCCATAATCATGAAAGTAAGTGAAGTGTTACACAACAATGAAATCATGGGTGCTGGTAGGGGCTGTAAGAGCAATTTTCAAAAAAAAACTATGTTTTTGTTTAAGAAAATGTTTCAAAGTTGACACAGAGCTGATGACTGAATAAACTTACCAGAAGTAAGTGAAGTGTTACACAACAATGAAATCATGGGTGCTGGTAGGGGCTGTAAGAGCAATTTTCAAAAAAAAACTATGTTTTTGTTTAAGAAAATATTTCAAAGTTGACACAGAGCTGATGACTGAATAAACTTACCAGAAGTAAGTGAAGTGTTACACAACAATGAAATCATGGGTGCTGGTAGGGGCTGTAAGAGCAATTTTCAAAAAAAAACTATGTTTTTGTTTAAGAAAATATTTCAAAGTTGACACAGAGCTGATGACTGAATAAACTTACCAGAAGCAAAAACTGGTGGTGGCTTCCCTTCTAGGTTGTCCACATCTGTGTTGAAAAGTGGAATTTTGGGGTCATCATATGCAACAACTTCCCTTCAAAATATATGAATAAAGGTAAGTATGAATGTGAACTTTCATACTAAGCCACTCGCCATCATTTGTTCAGCAAGAAAAACACATAATTTACTGTAAATAATTACAGTTAGGACTCCTAAATAACAGAGCAGGGCCAGATTTTATACATAAGTTTTGCATACATACGTATATATATATATATATTTTTTGAGATGAAGTCTCACTCTGTTGCCGAGGCTGGAGTGCAGTGGCGCAATCCTGGCTCATTATAACCTCTGCCTCCTGCCTCCTGTATTCAAGCAATTCTTACGCCTCAGCCTCCCTAGTACCTGGGACTACAGGCGCCTGCCACCACGCTCAGCTAATTTTTATATTTTTAGTAGACATAGGGTTTTGCCATGTTGGTTGGGGGGGTTTCAAACTCCTGGTCTCAGGTATCTACCTGCCACAGTCTCCCAAAGTACTGGGATTACAGGTATCAGCCACTACAGGTATTGACCGACTTACGACCTATGCAACTTACAACCATTCAACTTTACGACCACAATCGCTAGCCACGACTGCTCCGTGTCTGGCAGCGCAAATGTTGCCCAGCTGGGCGTACGACAGTGCGGACCAGCTTCTGGCAGCACTACCATCTCCGCGTGCATATAGCCTACTCAACTTACGACCAAATCGTGTTATGACCGGTCTGTTGGAACCAATCGTGGTCGTAAGTCGAGCACTAGCTGTATGCCTGACTCAATCCAATTATATTCTATTAGTTACTTAAAAACATACAACTGGGGCCAGGTGTAGTGGCTCATGTCTCTAATCTTAACACTTTGGGAGGCTGAGGTGGGATGACTGACTAAGCCAAGGAGTTCGAGACCAGCCTGGTTAACATGGTGAAACCCCATCTCTTTATATTAATAATTAAATTTTTAAAATGTACAATTGACAATTTTTTTATTTTATTTCATTTTATTTTTTGAGACGGAGTTTCACTCTTGTTACACAGGCTGGAGTGCAATGGTGCGATCTCGGCTCACCACAACCTCCGCGTCCTGGGTTCAGGCAATTCTCCTGCCTCAATCTCCCGAGTAGCTGGGATTACAGGCACGTGCCACCATGCGCCCAGCTGATTTTTTGCAGTTTTAGTAGAGACGGGGTTTCACCATGTTGACCAGGATGGTCTCGATCTCTTGACCTCGTGATCCACCCGCCTCGGCCTCCCAAAGTGCTGGGATTACAGGCGTGAGCCACCGCGCCCGGCACAAATTATTATTATTAAAGAATCCGCTTATACAACAGTCATGAAGCCCAGGCTGAGTTTGGGCATAACTACACTCCACTCAGGATTTTCTGGTTAAAATCCCTGTCTTCTCTCTAGACCTTAACTGAAAACCCAGACTCATGAGGCCTCAATCTCTGACAAGCCTGGGTTTTCAGTTGAGGCCCTCCTATTCCAGGTAAATGCCAAAGGCAACCATGCAGGAGGCTTTTTCAGAGAAAACAACTTTGTCTTCCCAGAAAACAAACCTTCCACTTCGCTTTATGAGGCAGAGAGCAACCCCAAACCACAGACAGGTTAGAGCCTGCACAGCCCTCAATTAATTTATCAACTTTGGACAATATTTTTCACTTCCTGCCATATAATATAAACGATTTATTATTTGTAATATATCCCCTTGATTCTTTCCATAGACCTCCCAGTGATTCTAGTTGGTTCCTATTTTTACTTCTAATGGCTGCTTTTTTTGCCTTTAAATGCTATATGACATCACCTATTTCTTAAATTATAAATATCAGATTGTATCTATTGATTTCTCTGTATGAAAATCAGTAAGTTATTGCATTTAATCTTTTTTTTTTTTTTTTTT